GAGTTGGAGCAAGTAATTACAGCGCACGTGTAATTTTCTCCACACATCTACATGTCCCCAAAAAGCAAGCAACACTTTGCTAAAGTCAGTAATAGCTATCTTTATATTTTATATTTTTAATGCTACCTTGGAAAAAAATTGTTTCTCTTCCACCATATAACAGGACTGCAGATTTTATTAGATGACGATCAATCTTCCTTTTTGCTTATTTATATTCTCTGTGTGCTCATCTTTGTCTGAAAGTTCCAAAAGTTTGCAGAAAACTTCAAACAACTATGGTCAATTTAATAAAAGAGACCGTCATAAATTTATAATCATTCCTCCTACTGCCTGAGCAACAGAGCCATAACACTGCTGAATTATTGCTCTTTTTATTTTTAGACAGCTGTCCTTAAGAATTCCCCCCCCTCAAAGCAGTCTGAAAAGTGTCACAGAAAAAGACTGTGCCTCAGAGCAAAGTAACACAAAGAAATATTTCTTTGCCCAAAAATACACTCCAGCTTCTTGTATCCTGAGAGATTTTTCTCTTCCTTGACCATAATTTATCACATACTCTTTGGAAGTTTCATGAGGAAAAGTTTTCACCATGAACAGCTACTACCCCTGAGAATTCACTGACTTTATGGCAGCATTAGGTATCCCTGTCACCAGAATATACTGCTGTAGAGGAATACATTTTAAAGATGGCAATATGCCATTCACTGCCTGTTTAATTCTCTTGGATCCTTAATCGTTCTATTCCCATGATCCCAATCTGCTACCGTCTTCCTTATAGTAATGGTACTTCAGGGAAGTCATTGGGTAAGGACAACTTTTTCTGGTGATGTCAGGAACACACCCGCACAAACATCCAAAGTAAACTTCAGTTGTGAAGGTAGTTCATGTAGAAGATATTAAATCTGTTTTTAAAAGTAAATATACAAACTACTCTGTTTCCTCGAAAATAAGAACTAACCTGAAAATAAGCCCTACTATGATTTTTCAGGATGCTTGTAATATAAGCCCTACCCCCAAAAGAAGCCCCAGTTAAGTGAAACCCCACCTTCCACCATTGTGCAGCAACCAGAAGAAGATGACATGACTGTCTTTGAATAAATGTAGATAGTTGAACATTGAAAAAATAAAATATCCCCTGAAAATAAGCCCTAATGCATTTTTGGACCAAAAATTAATATAAGACCTTATTTTATAATTAAATACCTTATATAAAAATTCATGAACTGATTTGAGTTGTGTTTCTGAAAAATAACAAAAATTGTCAACAAAAATCGCATCCAAGCTGCCTGGTTAAACAATAGCACTTACTTACTTTTACTTACTTACTTACTTACTTACTTACTTACTTACTTACTTGCTTGCTTGCTTGCTTGCTTTTTCTTTCTTTCTTTCAATTTCTCCAGAGATAAATTAAATTGTAGTAAGATATTATGCAAACACTCGGCAATATGTTATGACAGCAGATGAATCAACTGCTTTCATTTGGAAATCCAATCCTTCCTACAAGGAACTACAGTGGCATTTGCTCCTAACAACTTGGCACCAGTACATTGAAATAAAAAGACATACAGTATAAACTGGAAAGCCAGCACACTTTATTTCTCCCTTTAAAGGAGGAAAACAACAAGAAAAGGGTTGTAGAATTCATTGTGATGTGGCTGTTTTCATCTTGCTACCTCAGTAAGGTTAGTAACTTTTCAGGCCCTTTAAGGGCAGAATGGAAACAATAGCAGCTGTTTTAATGTACGTTGTTCCAGCATATTGTCAGGAGATGCTATGGCACTCTGACTGGCACTGATGCTGCAACATGACCTTCTTGGATGGCTCTGGGAGAACCATAAAAGTGGCATAGTATAACGGCTAGAAGTACGGCGTATGGTGCATGAATGCTCTGGCTTGAATATTGCTCCAACTATGATCTCATGTGAAGGCCTTAGACTTCAGCCATGCCTTCCCACAACTAAGCTAATAGTTTCCGACAACCTTAAACAGTGCCATTGTGACTGTCACTGAGGGTTAGGCATCAACCACATTTGCCTTATGAAACAATAATTATATTTATCTATTTTATATTGATTTGGTTTTACTGGTTTTTGACCATAATAAAGTATACTACTACCACATTTGCTTCAGATAAAGGCCACCCACCCACCCAAAGTGAGGCAGAGTGGGTAACTGACCCAGACTTCACAAATGAGGGGGACTCTTGCAAGACGTGGATGACATCAACGGATGTCCACAAAGGGCTATGAGAAGGAAGCCAAGAGGAGGGACCTCAATGAATATACTTCCCTGGGCTTCTTGGTGTCTTAAGCCTGTGGCTTCAGAACTAATTTGGAAAACTGTCTTATTTAAAACGAAACAAAACAACATAAACTACTATTTGAAGTTGTCCTGTATGACCATGGTGTAATATGAACCTCAATGCAGAAAACCTGATCTTCACACTTTCCATTAGAAACCATCATTCTTTGTGAAAAATCACGAAACAACTATAACGTTGGTACTCTTTGGCGGAATGGGATTAAATTTGGAGGCATCAAAGCCCCATAGTAGCACTTGCCATACTGTGGAGAAAGCAGAAAGGGCGCTTGGTTTATTTTTAATTGGGTTATCTAGCTTTAAAGTTGGACTTTTTTTTGTTTTACCAACATTGAAAGTCTTGCTAACATTTAAATATCTTGGTAAGGTAAAGGTAAAGGTTCCCCTTGACAATTTTTATCCAGTCGTGTTCGCCTCCAGGGGACGTTGCTCATCCCCGTTTCCAAGCCATAGAGCCAGCGTTTTGTCTGAAGACAATCTTCCGTGGTCACATGGCCAATGCGACTTAGACAGGGAATGCTGTTACCTTCCCACCGAAGTGGTTCCTACTGATCTACTCGCATTTACGTGCTTTCGAACCGCTAGGTTGGCGGGAACTGGGACAAGCGACGGGAGCTCACTCCGTCGTGTGGATTCAATCTTACGACTGCTTGGTCTTTTGACCCTGCAGCACAGGCTTCTGCAGTTTAGCCCGCAGCGCCACCACGTAGACCTGGGTAAAATTTGTAGGGGCCATTGCCCCTTCCGACAAGGTCAAGCTTACTAAGCTAGAGCCGCATTGATGCAGGATGCTTTGCTCAAGAGCAAAGTTTTGGTGTTTCAAAAAGAATGTGTTTCTCCACCCGCAGCACCACCCCTTTTTGTGGGTAATTGTTATGAAAAAGACATAAAGAATAGGTAAAGGTAAAGGTTCCCCTTGACAATTAGTCTAGTCGTGTCTGACTCTAGGGCACAGTGCTCATCCCCGTTTCCAAGACACAGAGCCAGCGTTTGTCCATAGACAGTTTCCGTGGTCACATGGCCAGCACGACCAGACACGGAACGCTGTTACCCTCCCACTGAGGTGGTACCTATTTATCTACTCATATTTTTACATGCTTTAGAACTGCTAGGTTGGCAGGAGTTGGGACAAGCAACGGGAGCGCACTCCATCGCATGGATTCGATCTTAAAACTGCTGATCTTCTGACCTTGCAGCACAGAGGCTTCTGCAGTTTAACCCGCAGTGCCACCCCATCCCATAAAGAAGTTGCCCTAATTAAGAAATCTTCAAACTTTGTGTAAGAAAGGCACATTAATTTGAATAGGATCATGCTCCAATGTGGAGGCAGCTGCTACTTCTTAACTTCCCACTCCCACCAGACTTTTTGAAAAGTAATTTCTCAGTCCCCACACCCCAGCTCTGCTCCTGTTTCTTGCTGCCTCCTGGACTTGCCTTAGTCCTACCCATTTATCTCCTGCTTCTGAGGTGGTCAACAACACCTACCTCTGCTGGTGCTCATTTCAGCTGACAGGCTGTTTGGAATTGTCCCAACTAGGAAAGGATTTCCTTTAAGCTCACCAACATTCGTACTGGTATGTTAAAGTCCAACAAGCTGTATTCACATTTATATGAAAATAATTTCTTAAAAGTGCTCTCTTATTGAGGAAACTTGTGTCAGATCAGCAGCAGCCTTCAAAGAGTCAAAGCCGTTACCACGCAAGGGGCTAGCGCCTGACAGAAGGGACATGCAAGCCTTGATGTTCCATGTATTGGGCACAATGGAAATGTTGGCACATCATTTATACGTCTGAGCGAGCAACAGCAGTCAGCTTCTGGCAAATGAACAGTGGCCTTAAACATGTACCACTTCAAGCAAGCAAGGATAGTTCAAACAGCCTATATGGGAGTGTTATATTTCCAGTTGGACAACGAAGTAGAAGGCTTGTTCCTGCCATTCCAATTGCAATAAGAGTTGCCTGGTATTATGCAGTGGTCTGGAGAACCTGTTCCCATTCATGAGGAGGTCTGTATCATGAGGTGCCACCATTTGTCTCGTTAAAAGTAAGTTTTACAGTTCATATCCATTTGTCAAGGGCAGCCAATTGAGGTTTAATCACACATTAAGAGAAACATATTTCTTGCTATTACGTTTTTTCTCAAGGGTACACACTTCCTTTATAATTCTGTCTGAGCAATCAGACTTGGAAATAACACCTTCAATTATCTCCCACTGAACAAGCACAAAAGAAAAGCAGGCTTCTTTGCAACAAGCTTATGCTGGGATAAACAAACACACATCTTTCACCTCTTAGTGAAACTTTGTAATTATATGTTGATTATATTGTTTAATCTGGGCCTTGGTCAGCATTCACAGAGTCTGTCTCAGAGGTGACTGTCCCACTGCCTTCAAATCCTTAAAATAAATATCCTTTCTTAGTTTCTGCTTCAAGTATTCCCTCCCATAACAGCAGTTACAAGATCCAGATCTTAAAAGGCCTAGTCACGCCAAAAATCATGTTGACTCAGTAAAACTAATTTACGTATATTAAAAGGCTTGCTTTCATTTAGCATTTTAACAGGTGCTCTATAACCATTATGCTGGCTCAACAGCCAACATTTTAATTTGAGCTTTGAAGTAGGATCACTGTGTTACCATTATGAATTATTGCTCCCTGGAAAATGAAGAAAACCAGTTCAACAAGGTTGTAATTATATTTAATACATATTTTGCTTTTAAGGGCCATTTGAAGAAGTAAACATCATCAACTTTTACAATTCACAACTAGTGAAGAGTTTATAGTGCTTATAAAGTTGTATCTAAAATATACCTTATTCATCCTCTATAGAACATTTTGAAGACAGTCTAATATTATAATTACACATTATACAGTAGCTGCCTCTTGCCACCACTGTAATTAAGGCATTCTCATTTTACAAACCTCTCCTCAAGACTCCAGTACTGGCTGATAAATACATAACATCAACCAAAGTTTTGTTAAATAAGAACTTAACAGAAAACAATAGTGCACCAGAATGACTTTGGGATAATGAGCAGGTGTTCGATCACTGGCTTAGAAACAGGAAATGTCAGTCAGAATATTTCACATGGCATTTTCAAAATGACCACATGTTGTCCCTGATGCACAGCAAAACATGACTCCCAATGATGCCTGGTGAATGGCTCAACATACAACGGTGCTGATCTCAATCTTCAAATTAATAGAAAAAGGTTGGAGCTATGTCTTCATGCATTTAAGATTTAGCAACACATTTATACTGCCTTGGGAGTTCTTCAGCAAGTTGAATGAATCTGTTCTTTAGAGCTGGCTGTAAAGATCTTGTGATAAGTGACAATGAGCTTCAAAATGTTCCAAAGTTTATGAAGTCCACTGCGAGCTACAGTTATGTGTAACATTCACTTGACACAACCATGGGTGGGCATTCAATGTAGCTAACAAAAGCTCCACTGTGCGTGGCCCGAGGTGTTCCACCATCATCCTTCATAGTCCCATCCACATTTGATGCCAGCTATATTCAGTAGATTCTGTGGTTAAACTGGAGTCCTGCTCCACTCCAAGGCAGGTTAGTAGTGGAAGAACCTCCCTAGACTTCTAACTAAGCAGAAGATGTTCCTCTTTGTAACCAAACACCCCTGTTCTTTGATTATTCACTCCAGGTCTCACCTTGAAGCACAGAAGTAGTAATCAGAAAAGTTTCAGGTAGAGATTTCTGATGCAGCTCCCTTGGAAGCCACACACATTATATTTTTCTGCTGTCAGGAGAGATATATCAATTTGATAACTATATTCTTTTGTAAACTGCCAGATCAAAGCCTTCAATATATTCTCATGTCACAATTTTAATAAAGTTAGACAAACACTTGAAACAGCTGGCTTGCATCATGAATATGACTCAGGAGAATCACATAGTTATGTTGCATCAAATCAGAATATGCAATTCTCCATTGGCTTAAACTTAAAGTATCTCTGTAATTCCAAGTTATATTCATCCCAATAAAGAAGATGTTTTTAAAACTGGATCCTGTTAATTTATGCTGTACTTTATGGAAATAGGCATATAAATTGTTGTACTAACACTTATGTGCTTTTTAATAAGTCTTGGATTACAATCAGGCTACAGTGCAGTTGCTACAGCTAGTGGGAACTTGGAGCTACTGATATTTTACATGTTACTATTTTTATTTTCAGATGTGTTATAGATTGCACATATTCCTCTGAAGAGCATTTTTGTTCAAAGCACCCATTGCATATTTTTCCTCCAGAACCAAGCAATCATTGAAACCACTGCTTAACGTGCCTGTTCCACATTTTTTGTTTACGTTACATATTAATAAAGAAAAACAAAGCAGTTTACCTAAACATATTGGCTATTTGGACCAATTTCAGTCTCTCTCTGACTGACTGTAGACTTTAAAAAAAGGTTTCAGAGGGGAATTTAAAAAAAAAAAGCAGCAGCCCATTTAGACTAAATGAACTTATTGACAGAAATAATGAAGGTGGCCATTTTAGTACAGATTCAGCTTTGTTCCTGTTAATATTAACAACTCCTGTACTTCCTTACCCCCACCCATGCATACATCCTCAAGAGTCAGCTCCAGAGTATTGACGCTGTACCGTAATTTGGTCTCCCAACAGTTGTGGCCATTTGGAATCACTAATGTATGGCAAGTCTACAAGAACACTCCCATTCATATACAGTATTTCAATAGAGCCTCTATAGAAGAATTTCACAAAAGAAGAGTTCATCTTCTTAGTAAGACTGCATGCAAGTTTGCAAGCTTATGGTTATGGACTGAGGTGGTGAAAGTTGCATGACACAGAAGGTTATTTCACTAAATGTAACGCTGTTTGGATTTTCCTATTTCCAAAATAAAGGTGCATCATCCACAAAGGAACTATTTTTAGCTAAGCTAATGGCAGTACAGCCCCTTCACTCAGCCCACCTCTCTCCACAGAGCTCTGTTGCCGCTGGTGTTCGGTGAAGAGTTCTGTAACACAGTGTGCCTAATCAGAGAGGGATGCCCTTCCTAACATACTACAGGCACACACACTGTGACCACAGTGGTAATCTTAGTCATCTGTACTGCAGACAGTGCAGGGTGATTTTTCATATCTCAGGTGCAATCAACCCACAACACAGAATAGCCAGTTCAAAGTTGACTATAACACAGCTCATGTGTAACAGGCTTATGAATCTGACCAGTCACAGCATCTGGCTTATGTTTTTGATTTAACTTCTGTGATTTCTCAGATCTCTTTACACTACTTTGACATGAAGAATAATAAAAAGTGAAACTCTTGGAACGTAACTTATCTCAGGCTGCCCAGAAGTAAGTCAAAAGGAACACAGCCTGAAAATAGAGACAAAACATTGAAATGAAATAAAATTTGGTTTGGCACAGGAACATTTATGCAAAGAACAGGATGGCATACAGCAAGCCTATGTTCAGAAAGTAAAGGCTCTGTTCTATACACCAATGTCTTGTCCAGCATGTCACATATAAGCACAATTTCATACTGATCACATCCCAAGATGCGAGGATCTCAAGTGACCTACAGATAAAGCAATCACAGATTGCAATAATGAGTGATTTTTGCAAATAGAACAAGCTGGGGGTACAGGGTGTGAGCAGAAGAAGAAACAGAGGGAAGGTGCTATATGGCAACTTTATAGTCAAGTACTTCTTTGCGTGTACTCATCCCAGTCTGTCATGCATCGTCCTTCAATAAAAGTATGTTTTGTTCTTCTCAGTCCTGATGAGACTTTTCTGAAATAACTTTGCATTCATACTGTAAAATAAACACAGAATTTAGGGGTAAGTGTCTTTGATACTGATATGGCACACATAATCACAAAACTGTAAAACTAAGGAAAAATAACACAAATGGGTGGGCTGAATAGGTCCACTTCCATTGTTTTCCATGATACCAACCGCCCATATTATTCCTATGAAATGCATGTATGTAGATGAAACCCTGTAGACAATCTGAGTGTCATCCCTTCACAGATATCCCTTCAAGTCACTATAACTTGCATTCTGTATGGAAGGAGAGAAGAATGGAAGCCTCTAGATGTGGTCCTGTGAAGAAAGGTAAATCATGCTAGCTTTTTAAAAGGGATGTTCTAAACTAAAATAAGGGTGGATTCTTTTTTCCCACTTGAAACTGGACTAACTTTCTACAGGCTACAAACCAGATGGGGTGGAGGATAAATAGAAATGTCACTGAGGTCAAACCAAAAGTAGACAGGGTTACTGCACACCGTCTTGTCCACACATAAATCATTCCCCCAACCCAACAAAAATTAGATTTGAAAAACCTTCCCATTTGGAGTTAACCCCATCTAGAAATTGGCCCCCCCACATGCCCCTCCCCCTCCTATCTTCAACCTCATCTCTAAAAATCTTCAATCCTCCATGCAGCAATTATAAACTTTTCAAAAACTTGCACTAACATGGATAAAACCTTTTTTTAAGTCCCTCATTACTTCATGGGTCTAGCAGACAGCACCTATGGACTGATCAGATTATGCACTCCAAATAGTGCAAGGCTTCCCATACCTGTTGAAGGATTACATCTATATATGAAGTGATCTGAACACTCTCAAGTTTTTAGCCATGGTTCAAGACACAATTGTCCAGAAATCTATAGCATATTCTGAAACATTGCTAGAACTGCTGGTCAAGAGGTTATTCAGGATTGGGCTCTTTTAACCTTCATTACTTGGACTTTTTAAAGACAAGGAACGATTACAGAAAGAGCATGCTGCAAAGGAGGACAATGTTTAACACTGACAGGGTGTAGAAGACTTAAACTAATGTACAAAGGGTCGTGTTATAGCAATGCAATTATTTGGAGATAGTTTGCAAAGAAAAGCTGTGCAGTTCAAAGTAGACTACATTGTTCATAGGGATACTGTACTCTAAACCAGCCATTCTGTAACTTTTTTGCCATGTCCATAAACACAATATGAGGAAAATACAGGCTGAATCAGGATTCAGGATCCTGAATAAAGGATTGCATAAGTCACATAACAAACCTTATAAGGTGGTTCGTCAAGAATTGTTTCCAGTCTGTGGTCTTCTTTAAATGTGCCACGGCCTCCGTTAAGAATGGATGCTCTAAACCACTGGTTCTTAACCTTGGGTTACTCAGGAGTTTTGGACTACAACTCCCAGAAGCCTTCACCACCAGCTGTCCTGAGTGGGGTTTCTGGGAGTTGCAGTTCAAAAGCATCCGAGTAACAAAGGTTAAGAACCACTGATCTAAACAACCAAGAATTGATAAAATAAACTTACCATAGCCAACTGCCTGCCAATGTTTCCCATTGTTATTCCACCAGCAAAAAATATACAGGGTAACCACGAACGCACATACAGAAAATCAGGAGAGGTGTACCTGGGAAGACATAGGGGTCATTTTTAGTTCTAAGGTCTAATACAATGCATAAGAAGCAAACAGGATGTATTTTGATAGCTCAGCAATTAGGACTTTCTGTATGGCTCTAATTTGTATTTTTGGTTGCTATTACCCAAACACCATCATGTTCTGAGATAACCAACAAGAACCTTGAAGTCACCCATGAATATGAAAGCCTGTGTATTAGGGTAGGACAGGAGATAGTATATAATTTTCCATGGATTCAATTCCAGGGCATTTATTTATTAAACTTTTAGATTGCCCAAAAACCATGCTTCTATGGGTAGTATACTCTTTTTTCCCCTAGAGTTAGTAGGATGATTACTCTGTTTTAAATTCAAAACCAAGATACAATTCCAGAAGGTAACCTGTGACAACTGGCACATCTGATAAACTAGGAACTGTGTGATCTCCTTACTTGAAAAAAAAAACACCTACTTACCTTTCTCCTGATATTCCATCTGGCCTATGTGAACACAAGGAAAATACCACTTCCAGAAGCCTTCCAAAAAAACTGCCTTTCCTTTCCCATTAGTGCCTCCCTTATTCCTCTGATAAACGCAGATTCCTACACTTTCACGTCTCTACTGGTTTTGACAATACAATCAGAGCTATTGTATCCGTCTACAAGCTACGGTATTTGCATACTGCATAATAATTTTGCTGAACTACTGATGATAAAATAAAGCTTTTATTTTTTTCATGAACAGTTGTTCTTGAGCTAATTGTCCTCATGTGAAGAAAACATGACCTAACAATTTTCAAGCCCCGTGCACTGCAAATATATCATGCACCTGAGAAGTCCCCTTTAGCTCCTCTCTCCATAACCTTGGAAGTCAGGCCAAAATGTCTGATTGCCAGAAAACAACCCTATCCCAGTCTTTGACCTAATGCTGCACATCCATAGCAAGACTCCCATGTCCCACCCATAGCTCTCCTCTTGGGTTTTAAGAGTGGAGGCTTACTATTTTGATCTTATGTCGCTCCTACCAGATTTCCTCCCAAGCTTGCTTTTGAGAAGGCAGAAGATGTTATCATCCAACGCCACAAATGAGCTCCACTGTCTGCCCAAATTCAAAGGTGGGGAGGGAAACTGTGGGACCTTGCTTGTTTAAACTATTCACCCTCGCCTTTTCATGATATGTTTTAAAAAGCAGGAAAACCTAGAAGTGTGAGCACTCAAGGGCAACCCAAGCAATCTCTTTCTACTATCTGGGCTTCAGTCTTACATGAAATAAAGTCACATTAATTCCAGTGGCATTTATATATATTTCGCTGTTGAGGGAAGGATGTTGAGCGGGTTTTTTCCCATGTTTCAGACATATTTACTGTAAATATTTTGGACAGCAGTTTTAACCTCCTAATTAAATAAACATATTTTTCCATGCGTACAACACTTACTGATAAACTCCATTGTAGACCAGAAGCTGAGTCACCAGGGTGGCTAGAAATGCAATTCCTATTCCCAAGCCAAAGCCACTTCGAGATCTATCGAATGTCCACCACAGTCCAATTGAAAGTGCAGCAAGTGTGAGGGACAACTGGATGTTGTTCGCAAAATCAACTTTCTGTGAGCATGGCTAAAGATCAGTTTCAGAAGATCCATGAAGAAAATAGGCATTTGAGGTGCATGCATGGTTAAAAAAGCTTCGATTTACCTCACACTTACTGGCTCAAATCCCGTTGGTTAACATAGTAAGAGGCATCAGAGTGGGCCTACTGAATCAGTGGGATTTGGGTGACTCAGCTGCTCCATAAATACCATTGATTCAAGTGGGTCTATTCTACTTCCAATTTAATATACTATAGTCAGTTGCTCATAGAGTAGACCCACTTGAATCAATGGAGCTTATGGAAGAGATGATTCACCCAAACCCCACTAATTCAATAGGCCCACTCTGGTGCGACTTACTGAGCTAAGCAACAAGATTAAACCCATGAAATGTCTGATATTGAGGTTCAACTCATGCCCCCTCTTCATCTACCCTTCACAAAGTTCTCAGGGCAAAGCCAAGTACTGTTACATTTCAAATGTTTTTAAAGAGCAACAAGGATGCAATTAGGTTGCTTTATAAAACTTCTTCCTCGAGGACACCCACTTCAGCGTTATTAATTCTTGTTTCACAGGCATTTTAATTCTTAGTATTTCATAACTTCTGCTGCTGATTTATGGATATTTGGAGCCGTGTCACATTTCTATTGCGTTTTATCTGTCAGACCACACAAGTACTTCTCCACAGTTAAAACTATGGAGTGGGAATCCAGCAATGTACTTTTGCTGAACACTTTCATACTATTCCTGCCAGAATCAGTTACCTTGCTTCCTACTTCAGTGCTTTGTGTAAGCTAAATATCTGCCCACAGGGTAGATTTCTAGCATCGTGGCAGGTTGGAGCAGGAGGAGGAGAGGGAGGAAGAGGGGGAAACAACGTTCTAATTTTGCTGTGTTGGATACTTGAGTGCACAGTTAGATCTTTGCCTAGAAACTATTAGTATGAAACACTACCAAGTTGGATAGCTCTAAAAGGGAATTCAACAAATTAATGGAGAACAAAGCCATCTAGGGCAATCAGTGATAATGAGCATATTTTACCTAAAGCAGTTACTGGGAAACACAAGCAGCAAAGTGCTATTGCACTTGTGTCCCATTTGTAGACTTTCTATAAGTGTCTGGTTGTCTGCTATGGGAACAGAAAGCTAGACCAGACCCATCTTGGCTTTAACATTCCAAAGCTCCATCTTATGTTCATATATTAAGTATGTGTTTTTCAATAACAGTACATCACTCTGAGTTAACGATGGAAGAGCAACTAATAAATTGACAGCCATGTCAGGGATGTTCAAGGTATACAACCTCAGAGAAGTGAGTAAGGCAGCTCTTGTTTACCTTTTGGCCTCCTAGAAAGTTCAGATATGATTACTAACATCATTACAACAGAGAAGGATACAGCACTGGCATGATTTATGCCAACAAAGACTGCTACGCATCGCATCACACTGGACCATTCCCTCTTAAATTTATGTGGTTCTCCCAGATGTCTATCCATGCAAGGGTACAATAACCCAATCACAGCTGTAAAGAGAAAAAATGCAAGAGAAACAATTAGCAATGAATAACTCATAATTGCTTTTCTGGCAGACTTGATTAGAACTTTTCCCCCCTATTTCTTTGTCTGCCTTTGTCTGACATGGAAAAGCTCTTTAGTCTTCTTGCGATTTCACAATCCTGAAATATTAAGAGTCACTTCCAAGTTTAAGGCCTCTTACTCCATAGTCTTATGCATGCAGGCTTTTTAAACATGTCCCACTCACAGTAATTGTCCATCTGTGAATCTTTCAAAGCTCCTTCTTCTCTGTTCTTCTTTCCTCACAAGCACAGTTCTTCATTTATTTAATCCAGGGCTCAGGGAACTTTTTTTATGTTTTACCCCTCCCCAAAACATTTCTATACGCCAACATTACCTCGCCCCCTCCCAGCACTGCCCCTCCACTCTCACCATCCGCGGCCGACCCCCCTCCCCACCTCTGCGCTCGCCCAGGACCTGCGACCGCCACGCCACCGGGAAAGCGCGTCCTTGGTAAAGAGAGGCGGGCACCGCAGGGCCAGCAGGTCCACCGGCCATGAGCGCAGGTGAGGCAGGGTGGGAAGGGGGCCTCCTCGCCAGCGCTCGCTCTCCCCACGACAGAATGCCTGCCTACACACAGCATTGTCGGAAATAAAATGCCTGGGGATAATGAGGAGGGTCACGCTGCCACAACCGTCCTCATTACCCCCAGGATTTTCATTTATACCCCATTTGGGATAATTTACCCCTGTCCCCTGACCACTGTTTTAATCCTAATCCTTTTCCCCCATACATGTTAGTCCATATTCTATGCTGTTTAATCTCACTCATTTATGCTTTGGCCAACAAAGACATGGGTGACCACTGCACTTGCAGGCATGCCAGCAGTTCATACTCTTGACATCCTAACTGCACATAAATGTTTTACTGGGATTCAGAGAAGCATTTCTAACATCAAAGATTTTCAAACAATACAAAAAATATGGGGATAACAAGGGAAAGGAAAAAGGGAAAGAAAGGAGAAAAGAAAAGAAAATGAAATAAGGTCAGGTTATCATACTCAAGAATATGATAACCTGGCTACGGGGGGGAAAAGGAACTGTTACAGACAGGTAGTTTAGAGGTAAAACAAATATGTAACTGTGACTGAAATGTTCTAAGTGACAGAAGACAAACCAACATGCTCAGACAAAGTAGGGATTCAAATCCAAGTCCTCTGTAAAATCTGTGGTATATTAACTCAGTGAAAAGAAAATTAGATAATGCAACCCTGAAGATTAACTTTAGCACAAACAAACAAACAAACAAAAATAGCTTAGCTAGACAAGAGGTCATTTATTGACCTATACCAAAATACAACAAAAAAGAACCTCAAGAAAATGTTGTCTGATTGTGGAGGTTTACTTTCAACAGAATTATGCCTCAGTGTTGCCCTCTCACTTCTCTGCCAAGAGTTTTTTCCTGCTAAAATGATCTTACACACCAATTCATCAAGTGAAATTTCCAGATATGGGGGAAGATCTACCTTACCAAGAAAATACAGAACCTATCAATGAATAGCTGCTAACCTCAAGTAAAAAGATATTCAATACATGATGCTTGCCACTTATGAAAGAACTGCATTATGCTACTGAAGAACTTGCACCAGCATCTTCACTACATAGTATCATATTTTTTAAAGGAAATGCTCTGTTAAATTACGCATCTTAAAACCAGGAAGAGAAACTCTTTGCTACTGACAGACAATAGAACTTCAGAGATTGAGACAGACTTGGGGCAGGAAGTTGGAGGATAATGGAAGAGGACTTTGTTCACTGGCGCCACAAAATCCTTGATGAACTAGATCTAGCACACAACACTTTTTCCTAGTGTCCTCCAATTTCAGCTGTTCTGACATACCTGATGCTGTTCCACAACCAAGCGGTACCCACCAAGCTGAAGAGAATATACTGGTAATCACATCAGGTGGAAACAAGGTGACGTTTCTCTGAATCTGCAGCAAGTTTAATACTAATGCAAGAAAGACGCCAATTAAAAACAGGACTACTCCACGGATCACCAAGTTCAGGCTGTGGCTGGTGACGGAAGAAATGTATGGGCCGCATTTTCTTGGTATGGATGGTTGTGCATCATTATCTGCCATGGCCTCACTTATTTCCAGCAGCATTCAACACGAGTGTTTGGAGCCTAAGAAGGAGGAATATCAAGGCTGAAGGAATCCTATTTTTCTTCTCAGGACATACTCCAAATCCTGGTCAAAAAAAGATAACATAATTATAGAACATATATTTAAATGTTCGCTTTTATTTTAATATACAAACCTGTACATATAAAGAACATACAGATTCTTAAATCAAAGTAATACTATGGGTCAAGTTCTACAAATTTCAGTATTCATGTATCTTCACCCACTATTGTATAGCTCATTATTTATATTAGCAGGATGATCCTATATATTCTCAACTGAATCTCAGGACATCCAGTGTCCTTAATACATGACTCAATTGCCCATTTCACCACAGAGGCATCTGGCTCCTTAATGTAGCAGTCCTTAACTTTATGCCCCATCAATCATTTTGTTGAAGAGCCCGGGGCCCCACTGTGATAAATATAAAAACCCACTTTTAATGCTAAGTATAGCACAGGTATTTTGTTATTATATTCGTCATTCACAATAAATATTAAGTCCCATATTGATTACTACTGAATCCTACTGGTCCCGCATGTACTACTGACTGAGAATCACTGCTTTAAAGTGGTCACCAAAGAGGGACCTTGGTCAGAGTACTCTATAAGGTCAATATGGTTCATATGCTTCAAAGTGTATAATGAGAAAAATATCTAAAGAAGTCTGCATCCAACCAGAATTCAAGTCAGCCATAAGTTACTTTCTGCTCACTAATCTCCCCTGTGTATAAGCCTACATATACACGAGGTCTTTGCTGAACTCAAAATGCAAGCCCTAATTTGTCTGTATTTTAAGCTGCCAACAAGGAGCTCCCTACCAACTACCTCCTACTCACTACACTTTGAAATGGTACAACACATGAGGAGACCTGGTTCTTGATTTCTAAAAGTATACAAGTGTACCTAAATGCATGGTCTCGGAATAAGATAGCTCTTTGATCTTCTAAGGAAGCAACCATTGCAACATGCCAATAAAATAACAGATATAAAATCCATGTTCTACAGGGTGATAACTTAATAGAACTGATTTAGAAATGTGATGGCCTGGGGTGGAGGGGAGAGATTATTATTCCTCCCAAATCTCTGTCATCCTATCCCTCAATGCTTTTTTCATGGCTTCAGAATTTCTAAATACTTTGCATCTCAAAACACATACAGCAATTCACGTGCAATTCATAAGAGCCATGTACAAAAAGTGCATCTCAGTTTGGAATTCAAGACACACAAATTATGACACACTTTGAAAAAAGAAACAAAGGAGATAATAAGGGAAGACATACTTCAGTATCACCAAACAACATCCATGAAGATACCAACAGCCCAAATTAGCTGAGAACAGAGAGACATAGAGTAATGTTTGGCAGAAACAAGTTCTACTCCATCAAAACAAAATACTGCCCAATAATTTAAACCGACAATTTCACAATTCCAAAATTCTAGGTGCAGAACTTTAACTTAAGGAGAAGTTTTAGACTAATTTTCAAATGTAAAAATGGGCCACATATTACAGCATCTCATAAAATCCAATCCTGTTTGTTGCTTCAAAACAGCAACAATATGCCATGAGGCTACATAGACTGGCATACAACCTTGCTACTGAGTTGTGAAAATAAAGGAAGTGACAGGGCACTACTGCAAGAAATGCACACAAGGAGCAACTGACACAGTCAAAGTCTGATAGCTACCAGATGACAAGATCAGTCCTTAGGCTAAATAAAGGGCTTGCCTTTATCCAAGCTGTACAACTTGGATAAGTAGTACTGTGCTCCAAGAGGTCAGTAGAATTCCAGTCCACCCACCAGCAATTCCTTCTACATACCTTCTGGATGAGAATGGTGGAATTCCCTTCCCGGACACTCTTTTTCCAACCTGCCACTCAGACCTCTTGTTTTACATGGACTCAGTGCCACATTCATGTATAACAAGTGTTTTGACTGACAGCTCAGTCATCTGGAACACTAAAGGAGGCGAAAGCCCTAAAATGTTGTTTGGTACATTCTGAGACTGCCAATCATTTGCATCTTTTGATAGCTCTTATTCATGGGCAAGTGGAAAGGATGTAGCAGCAAGACACTGCTTGTTCCTCCTGCAACATCTCTTATTCAGCAGAGGCACAATGCAGACTGAACTATCTGTCACTATGGAGCACTGTACTGCTGGCCTATGCTTTTGCACTCAAAAGATCTGCCAGATGAGCCCCATTTTGTTTCTTTCAGAGTGAGTTTGCAGGCATTTCCAGTGACATGCTGCTGCAGCTCCATGCCAGGTGACATTTACAAATCTCCAAGATAATCCTGGCTTCTGTTAGGATGGGGCCTGTGTCATCTTCAATTTATATCCACAAATCAGCTCAAGGTGCTGATTAAGCCATCGAGGCCCCAAAGAACTTGTCTGGAATGGTTTGGAAGGGCACCAGGTATATACTATGGGAGCCATGAGACTGGGGGTATATCACCTCAACTATCTAGTGTGCAAGCTGGAAAAAAAAGATCCAACCATCAAAAATACTTCAGTGGCTTCTTTGGCAGTCCAGCTTCTGACTGGAACTAGGAAATCATTACTAGTAGGATTTTGGAAAGTTGATGGTCAATTTGTGAAGAAGGCTTGGGGAGATTGGAGAATGGGAGTAAACAACTGAAGGACAGAAGCACAGAAGGAAGATAAAAATAGAGAAGTCAAATGCATATGAATTGTAGTTTTGTACTGTTTTGTGTGTGTGTGTTTTAAAAAAATACAACTTCAAAAGGAAGATTTAGATATTCCACAATCAGGCTGAGGTCTTGTCTGCTTTGGAGGGCAATGAAAACAGATGGGGAGAGTTAAGCTTAGGAACTCTCTCTACAAAAACTACCAAGGAAATTCTGACTTCATACGGCAAACCTAGCAACAAACCCAGGTTTTTAGTATCAAGTCCTGAGTCCCCAGCCTTTGGGGGGGNACGACTTGGACTTGGGACTCGGATCCAAAGGCTCAGACTTGGGACTTGGTATCCAAAACATGAACTCAGGATTTGGGACTCAGGTCCAGAGACTCACCAACATCCCTGGTAATAACTAGAATAGACTTATGGGGCCATATTATTCATAAGGCTGATGCCTAGAAGCCTACAGGGACTAGGGTCAGACTGTCAGCTGTATTGGGGTGAAAGATTGAAATGCTGGAAGGGATCTGAAATACATGAAACCTCAGGGACCCGGCCATGGGTTAATAAAGCCTTGTACATAGGCATTGACTCACTAAATCCCCACTGATTCAATAGGCCTACTCTAGTTGCAGCTTACAGAATTTCAGCCATACTGTTGCTTTGTTTATTGTCCAGCTAACGTTAAGTGTCACATGCTTGAGACTCTGAGCAGGAACTCTGCAACTGCAGGCTTGAAGTGAGTGAACGTTATGCCATTTGCATTCTACCTGCATAACAAGGCAACAGAATCCCAACCATAATTTTCATGACCCTTTATTTATTGACTGATAAAAACAAGATTTGATTTAGCGTGCCTCTTCTGGATAAACTGCATGTGCATTGACAGCTGCTGAAAGCAGACTACAGTAGTCAAGACATTCTTCCTACTTCCTTCACTTTCAACTAGGTACTCGTCTTCAGGCTCCTTGGAAGGTTTACTGTGTACTTGTGAAGCTGTTAGCTGTGAAGAGGAGAATTCCTGGATGGTAACACATCCTAAATTTTCTCTTCAGGAAACACTCTTTGCAAATAGGCTGCTAATCTACATCTAGCTGAAAAAATGAGTTCTGAAATAAGAAAAGGAAGTGGCACATCAGTCTCTGTCTGTGCGCCACTGAAATCATTATGATCTTTTGGGGAATAGCATAAAAATCAGAAACAAGCTGTATCCAAACAATGAGTGTTAAAAAAATCTGAACAATACAATTCAACTTCATTCAAAATACTCTTCAACAGAACACAGTGCCAAGTATCTACCACATTCACCATGTTTCTGGAAATCTTTTGGTAGTCAATGCTAATGTGACAAGGACCTGACTTATATTTACACCTTTCCCAACAAAGGAGAAAGGAACCCTCCTCACTTTTGTACTTTTAACATCTGTGCTCGACACTCTAGCCTCTCCCCACCCCACCCCCCCAGCAGCTTCCAATACTAAGTCCACATAAAATAGCAATAGAGCAAGGGCTCACCCAAAATGGGCAAAGGTTGCACTGAAAGAAGTGAGTTCTATACTGTTAGTTTCAGTATTAAACTTGTCATCCACATGATGCATTACACTGATCAGTGCCTTTCTCTTTGTTTTTCATGCTCATATTGGAAGGTGGAGATTTAGCACTATGCTGCTTCAAATTCCCTGGAGTTACAGTTATTTATTAACATTATAGCCACACATTAATCTGTTCCACTGCACATAAAAAAATCCAAAAGTTAAGTAGAACAGACTTATGTCAATGTGATATTTTTGTGGATTACAATCCACTGCTAAAGTGACAGAGTTTTTCTTGTATTTACTGTGTATTATAATTCTGTATTATATTGTTTGTAATGATGACCTGATGTGCTGTGAACCACCCAGATGGTATTCAAAATAATGGGGCGGTGCAGAAGTGGAAATAATTATTAAATAATAAATAAGTTACAGAGACACAGCTTCCCTGGGGAACTTGCTTTATAAAAATTTCTTCCAGAAACAAGTGATTTTTGAAGATGTGCCTTCTGAAAGCTTATGCAGACACAAATACTGGTAAGCCCTAGTAAGACCCACGACCAACCACGATCAGGTAGAGCAGAACATTTGCCAATATGGATACTGTACACCTAAAGCACAAACACTTAATGTAAAAGGAGCCCTCATCCTTTGCCTTACTTATGGACAGAGCAAATTCATCATTGAGACTTGTAGGGGAGTATGAGTGCTTTTCTTTCTCTCTCTCTATCTTTCTTTCTTATCAATTCATTTACTGGCAACCCACTACTCTGAACATAGAAAAGAGAACATGAAGCCTCTATCATTCCCATAAATAACAGTACATCTTAATAACTCAATATAAGAAACAAAAGAGCTCATATGTGAACACTGGAATATAGGCCATAAAATTATTCTCTCAGGGATAGTATGTTTTCAAAGGCTTCTTTGTAGAGTTTCTTTAACAATTTTAAAAAATATATATAAAAGGAGGCAACCTGGCACACTTCCAGTAGAACATTTCATAGTCATGTGGCCACTATTAAGACATCCTTTTTTATAACTGACATTCTTTTGACTTCTCTTGGTATGGCAACACAAAGAAATGAGGCCTCAGAGGAATGGGTGAACGGGTAGCTATTCTTTGGGAGAGATGCTCCAACAGGTATTAAGGCCCTAATTCATTTAGGACTTTGTATATCAAAAACTATACCTTAAATTTGGCACAGAAGCTAATAAGCAGGCCAGGATTAGGGAGATACAAATTTAATTGGCTTTGGAAATCAACTTTGGAGCTGTTGAAGTCTTCAAGGGCACCCCACACAGAGACTGCTGCAGTAACCAATGTTTGAAAATACCAGTGCATGAACCAACATTGTCAGGGAAATAAGGGCACAACTGAGCAATCTGCCAAAGTTGGAAGGAGTCAGCTCCGGTCATGGCAGATATCTGTTGTTCCAGCGAGAGTGCTGAATCAAGGATCACTGCCAGGTTCCTCCTAACTGGCCAGGAGAACCTCCCAATAGTAAGATCTCCCTTCTCCCTTCTCAGGGTTCAGTTTCAACATGTTTGCCCTAATCCAGTCCATTATTATAGTCTGGTAGATTTACAAATGCTGGGATTTTCAACTGTGTCCCAAACAATAAGGGACACATTTTCTAAACAAAGATAACCAAATGGCCATGCAAAGAAAGGACATTCATAAAAGTAATTAGCATACATGGCAACAATCATACTGATTTTAAATGGAGCCTGGTTGCATGAACATACCCTATATTCACACAGTACTGTACAATAGGTGGTCTCATGTATGTTGGTTTGGCTTACTAACCAAGATTTATTTGTGATTACTGCATCACTATATGTTGTTTTTCTTTCTTCATGAGCTTTACTAATGTCTCTTCCAAAAACCCAGTGGGAAAGGAATCTCTATACTCATGTACAGTGAAAGAAACATGAATAATATAAGATATTCAGAACACCATCTTACTGGCAGAAAGCAGCAATGACTTGAAACGACTTTTAGTGAAAGACATGCCAAAGCAGGAGTGCAGTCGAACGTTAAGAAGACATACATAATGACTATAGAAGAGCTACATAACTTTAGTGTTGACAATGAAGAAATTGAAATAATTAGAGATTTTCTATACTTCATCAATCCAAATGGGGACTCCAGCCATGAAATCAGAAGAAGAGTCTAGGAAGGGCAGCAATGAAGGAATGGAAAACATCAAGTGTAAGGACGTGTCACTGGAAAACAAGATCATCCACATTATTGTATTTTCGATCATCATGCATGGATGCGAAAGCTGGACAGTTAAAAAAGCTGACAAGGAAAAAAACCCTGATCTATCTGAAATATGGTACTAGAGGAGAGCTTTGCTCTGGACTGCCAGAAAGACAAACACATGGGTTGTGTATCAAATCAAGCCTGAACTATCTGGAGAGGCAAAAATTTTGAAACTGAGGCTGTCCTACTTTGGGCATATCATGAGAAGGCAGAATTCTCTGAAAAAGACAAGAATGCAGGGCAAGGTGGAAGGCAGCAGACAAAGAGGAAGACGAAATATAAGATAGATGACTCCCAAGGGAAGCCACAGGCTTGAATTTACAAGAGCTGAGGAGGGCAGTTGTGGACAGGACATTTTGGAGATCACTCATTCATAAGGTCAGCATAAATTGGAGGCAACTTCATGGCACATCATAACAACAGGGGTGGCATTGGTTCTGGAAGCATTGTGATGACCATACTAAAATATACATTAAATCTAACTTTATGGGCAGTGATCTGTAGCAAGCTGATGATACTGCCACTATTATGCCTGGCAATCTAGTAAAGAGCTGTAGTGGTGATATCTTTCAGTTCAGTGGTGGTGTTTGCACATCATACTAAGCAATTGTTTCTGGTAGCCAGGGTTTATTGTTTTAGCCATGAATAATCCTGCAGATGACCAATGTCCCCGTTTCTGCTCTATTTCCCTCCTATGCCTTTTATTAGCTCCTGTTTCAAGTTTGATGTCAGGGACAATTTGCAGTTGTGGATCCAACTTTAACTACAAGGTGTACTTTAAAAAACAAACCAGGTTAAAACAGTGGCTTCTTTTTGTAGTTTGTGACTGGATAACAAATAACATTCTGTTGCCGAAATGGGTTCCAGCATAAGAAGCTAGAATTCAAAGAACTACAGCCTGGATCATCATTATGTGTAAACATGGCTAGTGAGTTGACAGAGAGTACGCGCAATCAAATCACAGATGTCTCAAAACATCAGGCCCTATGGTTCCAGCTTTACGTGACTTTGCTGCAACATGTTTATGCTACACAAGGGCCCTTGTGACAGACAAGCAGGAACTATCTAACACTGCAGACTAACCCACAGAAACAAAGAGATCTACAAGTATGCAGGAGGGTTTTCCACACTGCTTTACTACTGATTTTTTTCACTTCTTCAGCATAAGCAAAACAAATACATTCCTCTTTAATTCATACCACCTTTATTTATCAGAATTCTTCAATAGAAATTAAGAATGTTAAACGCACTACATGCACATTTATTGTTGCCTATTTAAATGGCAACATTAGAATTAAATGTGTGAGAGGCAGGCGAGATGGCACTGACTCCTACAAAGTACAATCAAATGTGTAAAATATTTCTATCTCTTGTGACCAATCACAAAATAAAAGTATGAATGTGTTGAGGCAAGCTCCTGCCTGAATGCCTCACCATCTTTTTCTATCTTAAGATTTAAGGAAACACAGTGTTTCCCCGAAAATAAGACAGAGTCTTATATTAATTTTTGCTCCAAAAAAACACATTAGGGCTTATTTTCAGGGGATGTTTTATTTTACAGTCAGGTCATCTTCTGGTTGCTGCACAATGCTGCACAATGGTGGTGGTTCAATTAACTAGGGCTTATTTTGGGGGTTGTTGTTTAGTCGTTAAGTCGTGTCCAAATCTCTGTGACCCCATGGACCAGAGCACACCAGGCCCTCCTGTCTTCCACTACCTCCCGGAGTTGGGTCAAATTCATGTTGGCAGCTTCGGTGACACTGTCCAACCATCTCATCCGCTGACATCCCCTTCTCCTCTTGCCCTCAAACTTTCCCAACATCAGGGTCTTTTCCAGGGAGTCTTCTCATGAGATGGCCAAAGTATTGGAGCCTCAGCTTCAGGATCTGTCCTTCCAGTGAGAGGATTGATTTCCTTCAAAATGGATAGGTTTGTTCTCTTTGCAGTTCAGGGAACTCTCAAGAGTCTCCTCCAGCACTACCATTCAAAAGCATCAATTCTTTGGCAGTCAGCCATCTTTATGGTCCAGCTCTCACTTCCATAGATCGCTACTGGAAAAACCATAGCTTTGACTATGCGGACCTTTGTCGGCAAGGTGATGTTTCTGCTTTTTAAGATGCTGTCGAGGTTTGTCAGCGCTCTCCTCCCACGAAGCAGGCGTCTTTTAATTTCCTGGCTGCTGTCACCATGTGCAGTGATCAGGGAGCCCAGGAAAGTTAAATCTGTCACTGCCTCCATATCTTCCCCTTCTATTTGCCAGGAGGTGATGGGATCAGTGGCCATGATCTTAGTTTTTTTGACGTTGAGCTTCAGGCCATTTTTGGCGCTCTCCTCTTTCACCCTCATTAAGAGGTTCTTTTATTCCTCCTCACTTTCTGCCATTTTGGGGGTAGGGCTTATATTACCAGCATCCTGAAAATTCACACTAGGTCTTATTTTCAGGTTAGGTCTTATTTTCGGGGGAACGGGGTACTGTTTGTTATTCATCCTAACTGTACTGTATACTTGGACCTGAGCCTCAACGCTCTTGGTGTGACCTTATGCCAGCTCCTAACTTTAAACACAACCTGACTGACATGAGTAGGCCAACAAAAACAAGAAAGCATCCTGCAGTGCCTTAAAGACTAAGCAATTTATTACACAGGATGAGCTTTCAGGGGCTATGTAGTCATACTGTACCAAATCTGTTCGCCTTTAAGGTGCCACAGGATTCTTTGCTGTTCTGCTACCTCTCAGGGCTGCGGTGAGAATTAAAGTTCACAGGACACACACCACAGATGCCACCTTGATCACTCTGGAATAAAAGCCAAGTATAATCAATGTTAACAACATCAAAGCAAAACAATTATATTCTCTTATCCTTCACAGGCGATGCTGGGCCATAACTGAGTGCTGGAAAACCCTGGCGCATACTTCGAAAAAGCATTACCAGTGATCATTAATCTGCTTTGCCCCTCCCCCCCCCGAACCCCGCTCCCGAAGTTATTCAAGGCGCTTCAAAAAGAACCGGGAAAAGAAAGCAGCAAAGGAAAACTGCGCAAACCTCACATTCTCGTGAAGAGTCAGCG